CTTTTATTCATATGTGCATACAATGTTTGGGTCATTTCTCCCCCCTTCCCCCCACCCCCTCCCCTTCCCCCCATTTTATTCATATTATTTTTTAATATTTTAAGCTTAATATAAATTTATTGAGGTAGCATTTACAATAGGTCTGTGATATTTGAATTCCTTTTTTTTCTCATCTCAATCTCCCTAATTTTATCCTAAGGGTTACATTAAAACAAATAGGTAACAAGATAAAAAATTATATCATAATAGTACTTTGCAATAATACTTTTGACTCTAAATTCTTTGTTTAGCCTTGCTACAGTTTTATAAATTAAGTAGAGGTGGTATTTCTATGGCAGTATAGATGAAGAGATTAGTCAACTTTAATTCCATAATATTCCTTTATTGGTGACCTTAGGAGCCCAGTAAATAGTACCCTTTTCTATATTCAAACTTAGACCACATGATAAGCAACTAGTTAGCAGATGAAGAAAGTGGCATCATCTCTATTACTGATAAAGGCTAAATTCAGAACTGAACACCATACCTGGTTGTCTAGCCTTGGAACAGCTACTGGAGAGGTCTGAGTGGGCAGATCAGGCACATCTGTCCAGGTTGCTACATTCCACATGTTCTTGTCCAAGTTAGCGGTAGAGGACAGAGAAAGATAATCCTGTAACTCAAGATATTTGCTAGATTAATATTACCCAGTTAAGAAACAGACCAGTCAAATGGCAACTAGTCACCAAACAGGTTTCTCAATCTCTTGGGGAGCAGAAAGTAGTAGGACATGATGCCAGAAGTATTTAGGGAAAATTTTGCCTCATGAAAACAGAGGAATGAAAAATGTATGTTTATCAGAGATTAGATTATTTGTCATCTGAAAAATCAGAAACTTATTCTAATTTGTTTTGTATCAGGGTGAAATGTTAAACAATTTTTCTTTGGCAATGCAATTTCTCTTTGAAAATCAGCAACTTCAAGGGATCAGAAGGATACATGACTCATGTTTTAAAAATAATTTCCCATATGGAAAGCCTACTTAAAAGAATACAGAACGTTGAAGATAAACATTTCTGACTTATTTGTTATATGTTTTAAATATATATCAAAAAATTATAGAAAGCTGGGTGCCAGGGTTCACGCCGGTAATCTAGCTACTCAGGAGGCAGAGATCAGGAGGATCACAGTTTGAAGCCAGCCCGGCAAATAGTTCCACAAGACCCTATCTCAAAAAACCCTTCACTAAAATAGGGCTGGTGGAGTGGCTCCAGGTGAAAGCCCTGAGTTTGAGGCCCCCCCCCCAAAAAATAGAAATGATGTATAGAATAAGCAAAAACTGTATGTTGGTTATAAATCTATATAAACACTTTATCATTTTAGGTTGCCAATGCCATGAAAAACTCATTACCATTTGATGCTCCTGATTCTTCACAAGATGGCCAGAAAGTACTTAAAGTGGAAGTCACTCCAACAGTACCAAGGATTTCTCGGACTGCAATTACAACTGCTTCCATCCGTCGTCATAGATGGAGAAGAGAAGGTAGTACAAAATTCCCATAGTCTGCACATGGATTCAAGCACACTTACCACTATTTGTACAAACTATATTAACATAAGATTCATAGTATTCTATATAATGAAGATATTTTAGTTTTTAAAATGACACTAAAATGTGATTGTATGCCTAGTTTAATGTAATTATACATGTATTTTTATGAAGTAGGAAGATATCAGACTGCTTTATGAATGTTTTAATGGAAAATAAGACCAAGTTAATCTTTGTCACTTTAAACCTTATGTTAATTACAAAGAACAACAAAAAAGGTGCATGTATGAGCATTGTGGGAGAAAACTGTATAACTGGCCAATCTAACACTATAATACAAGATATCCATAAAAGAATTGATTCTTGTTTTTGTATTTTTATCTTTGTTTTTCCTTTTTAAAAAAAAAAATATGTGCTGAACCCAGCAGTATTTCCTAGACCTGTGGTACTGGAATAGTCAAGCTGTCTTGCCTAAGAGATTTTAATTGTCATTTTAATGATCCTATTTTTCTTATTCATTTGCAAACCTTACATTGTTCATCTGCCACCTTATGTGTGTGCAAGTTGTGCACACACATGTAAATATATAAATAGTGTTTGTGTTAATATCATATCCATATATACATTCTCTTATCTGCCTGGGTCAAAATGCTCAGAAAAGAATAGAGCAGCACAAAAGCACTAAAATTTTATATGTTGAATCCCAGATGGCTTTGACTTCTCAAACGAGGCTGACTCGAGTATTCCTGGCTCCCCGATCCAACACGGCTCCACTGACCTAGGGATCAAACGTGTGCAAGAGGGGGAGGTGCTGGTGCGCAGGACCCCTGAGCATGGCTCGCCGGAGCCCAACTCAGCAGCAGCCACAACAGAGGGTAGGACAGAGATGAGGAGGCAGAAGTCAGTGAGGCAGTTGCTGGAGAAGAATCCTGGCTCTCTATCCCCAAGCAGAACATCTTTCCATTCTAGTGTGTGTTTCCACTACCCAAGGGTGTATTAGCTCTACCTTACAAAGCACCCCTCCTCCCAATATGCCTAGTATCAGGTTAGGTACAATCTTTAGTTATCATTTGTGCTGGCCTGGAATCTGCATCCCTGTGTAATCAAAGAACAGCTTGGCATGGCTACTAACAAAGCAGGGGCCTGTATCGAAAGGTCTGCAAATGCTTGGAATATTTTCATTACTGAGCATGTTTATTCTAACATTGGGAAAGAAGAAAATGCACCCAGTGGACATTTTGGGTCAATATTAGTCAGTATTAATGCATTTATACAATAATTTATTCTTTAAAGATCTATGAAGGCAGTTTTAAAACAGTATATTTCAGAAATTGAAGTGGAGCTGGCCATTTATTTGTAAGCCTAAGGTGTTCAATTAATGAGAATTTCCTATCTCTTTGACAGAGTATGCTGGTATTGATTAGCTTTTTATAATCTGTGGCTTAATTGCCTAGGTTCAATGAGTAAAATGCTGACATCTTTCCTGGATAAATGTGCTATCCTGGTGCATACTACATATTATAATTTATTGTAAATATTGTTTTGTATTATATAGCTCCCAAATGGAATTGAAATGTCTTATTTAGAGGTCAGATATCTTAGTAGATCCTTGTTTCTATAATGTAGATATCACAAAATGAGAATCCTCATCCCCGACCCTCATCACTATCTGCATAAAAACACTTTTGTCTGACAGGAAAGTATTTACTTGCTGTTTTGCATGTAATGCCATAGGAATTAGTTTAATGAAAGAGGGAACTATAACCAAAAACTTTTGTCATTGCCTAATGTGTTTCCACTATGGAACTTGCCACTGTGGAACCTTTATACTAATTTATGAAATAAGCAATTTTAAAAGTGATTGCACATTTTTATTTATTTTAAAGACCAAACATACTTAAAGCATTAAACTTTCACATAAAGGAAGTCTGTTGCTCTTCGGTGCATTAGAAATTTGAGCATGCTCAGTAAAAATCTAAGTCTACACTCTTCTTTGTCCCATTTGTCCAAATTGACCTTATTTTATTTATAATGTTGCATGTGCATGACCTAGAAACTCAGATAAGATGCTCATGTTTTAAAGACCCTATATATGGCTATGGAAGATGCAGTCTTCTCAGCCTCCCCTTTTGTGTCTTTTTATATCTCTTTATTTTGTCCTTTTATAGCTCTATGTTATTCCAAACAATTAGATTTATCTTGTATAAATGCATAAATGAGAATATGAGTACATGTGGAACTCAGAGTTGATCTAAATTGAACAACAGTCTATTTCTCAACATTTTTTGATGAATAAATTAGCTATTTGATGTTTATCTACTTCCATTGTTAGGATGTTGGGAGTATTTGTACAAAATATAGCACCATAATAATTAACAGTTGGTGAAATTCTAGAAAGTTGTGGGTTTAGTCTGAAGCATTGATTCCAGTTCATCAGAAGTCATATACTTTGAAAAAGGAACCAAAATAGTAACTTATTTTTAATATCCTAGTATATATTAAAATACCCTGTTTTCATATTTCCTGTTACTGATAAAATTTTAGTTTGGTGGAGAGAGGAGGTGTGTAGCCATAAAGCAAGATGAATAATATTCTAGAGTGAGTTTGAACTTTCCAAAAGACTATTTCACCTTTTGATCTAGATTATTTAATTATAGTTTAAAATTAACATTAGTAGGAACTGAGTTTATAGAAAAGACAGCTATAAATAGGAAAAGTTCATTAAAAATCCTTTTCAGGGAGAAAATTACAAAGGAAAAATGTTTTGAGATATGAATTGCCTTTTTTATTCCTTGAGGTTTTTCTAAACAGAAGGAAGGAGATTACAAAAACCTATGAGTGGTTTTGATAATTCTGTAGTACATTGGAGCTATTGAATTAGCATAGATAATTTACTACTTTAAACATGTTTTGTAGTATGATGGTTTTAAATAGTTTTATAATTAAAATTGAAAGGAGAATATAATCCCATTGCCTACTACTAAACTGAAGGCAAAGCCTGTGATCGATGTATAGTCAGTGTGGCATTAGATCGAACAGCATTTCCTAATATACAAAATACCAATGCATTCTCTTGCATGGTGGCTTTTATGTTATCATCATCCCTTTTATGGCCATACTGCTTGGGCATCTGATCTGCATGTAGCAAGACTCAGAGCTAGCACTAAGTCTCTCAGTCTCCTTTCCTAATTAAATAGATAAACCCAATGATACATTTCTGCCCGTTCCCATTTTTATAGTAATAATAGTATTTCTGAACCATTAACTATCTATTCTTGGGCCTTCTGGAGTTCTTTAACTAATTGAAAGTAAATTACTAAAATGATAATTGGATATAATTTAAAGTTTTTATTTTAAGGTATATTATGTATAATTCTTTTAAAGGGTTGAGAGAAGTGGTGTCAGCTGCTACTACTTTTAGTAAATGTATTTTCACATGGCTTTGCATGATGAGTAAACATTAAACTGCTGGATATATATGTATGTATATATATATATATATATATATATATACACACACACACACACATATATACATATACATAACAGGGTGCCTTTTGCTTTAAGTATAGCCTATTTCATTCTTTTTTTTTCCCTGTGAGAAAATAGAGTTAAGAAAATATTTTATTTTTTCAGATATATGTTAAAAGATTGTGTTTAAATATTTTGTATGCATTTTGCTTAGGTAACCTGTATCTCAAAGTCGTTATATTTTAGATTGTTTCCTAACATCTTTCCCTAACTATAATGTTGATGTCTCTTTTATAGATTCATACTTTCTTGCAATCTGGGAAAAATAATAATGTAGCAAACCAATATCAGTTTTTGAAAGAAGAAAATATATTACTTTCTAAGGGAGTGTTTGATCATATTTTCAGTAAGAGAATGGGCTATTTGGAAACCACAAGTTCATTGTATTTGTATATGCCTCTCCTACAAAAACTCAGCATAAAGATTTTTTTTTTTTTTTGCTAACTGCAATTTCTGCATGAAACATAATGGGGACATTATAGTATTTTGCCAATATGACAATAATACATGTCAATACTAAGAATCTAAAATGTAACAGAAATACAAAATGTAAACACTAAAAGTCCTTAAGTATCCTGCTAGGTCCCTGTCCTTGCTTCCTGATACCAATATTTTCTTCACATTGATCAAGAAAATACGGAAACTAGTGTATAGATTTGTCCATAAGACAAAGTATGATTGTGAGATTACTGGAAGCAATGTAGATTTTTAGTGTTGAGTTAGAAAATTCACTGGTTCCATGTTGAAGGTTTTAAAGCCATGCAGAAATAGTTAGCTATTGAAAATTTTATAAAATTTTATTGTAGGAAATAAAAGGGTTTGGCATGTAAGCATAAATAAATTTTTGGTTTAATTGTGAGTAACAGAAATCAGAACAGTGTCATTTGCACATTCTACTTTATGGTGTATTACAGAAGATAGGAAAAGGTTTTATTTGTTCATTTTTAAATAGGTCGATACTATCACCTCAAATGAGTGACAGTGTACTTATGAAGATTTATGATAACAAAATGTATTTACCTAGTTTATGTGCCTAAATATTGATAGTATACTAGGTAATGTTTGGATAGTTTTACAAAAGCTGGACTAATTAAAGCTAAATAAACGTAATGAATAGCATATTAGAATCTATGTAGAGATCTATTCTCCTAAATTACTTAGAGGTAGTAAGGCCATTACAAACCTATAGCAAGCATTATTCAAGAGATTAAGTCAGTTGTTATTCACAGCTGCATTTTACTTAATTGAACTATTGTTGAGTCTGTCTGATTTGTTTGTTTTTTAGGTGCTGAGGATATAAATGGAGGAGAGGAGTCTGTAAACCTGAATGATGCAGATGAAGGATTTTCGTCAGGGGCTTCCCTCAGCAGCCAGCCAGTTGGGACCAAACCATCCTTCTCTTCTCAGAGAGGAAGCTTAAGGAAAGTAGCAACTGGGCGCTCCACCAAAGATAAAGAAACAGCATCTGCCATGAAATCCAGTGAAAGTCCTCGAGAGTCAGTAGTTCGAAAGCAGTATGTACAGCAACCAACTGATCTTAGTGTAGATTCAATTGAGCTGACACCGATGAAGAAACACCTGAGCCTGCCTGCTGGCCAGGTGGTGCCAAAAACCAATAATTTAAGTCTAGTCCGGACAGCCAGTGCTTCCTCAAGCAAATCATTTGACTATGTAAATGGCAGTCAAGCAAGTACCAGCATTGGGGTTGGCACTGAGGGAGTTACTAATCTAGCAGCTAACAACAATGCTAATCGATACTCAACTATCAGTCTACAGGAAGACCGGCTAGGTCAAGCTGGTGAAGGTAAAGAGCTCCTCAGCCCAGGAGCCCCCTTAACCAAGCAGTCTCGATCCCCAAGTTTCAATATGCAGCTAATATCCCAGGTGTAGTTTTGATGTCCTCTCTCCTCTTTCTGCTTACCTTTTAACTGAACATTTCATTGTGCAAGAAGACACTTCATCCCACATTGTGAAAATATTGGTCGTCGTAATCAAATTTGATTTAGTTTAGGTATCTTCATACTGTATTTTGTATGGAACCAGCAATAAGGTTTTCTTTTCCCTCCTTCTTATATCCTCTTTTCACCTATTTTTTGTAAATGTGTTTGTGAAGCAGTATAAAACTTTTGCCTTTTCCATGCCTTCCTTTCTCCTTGGGTGATGTGCAATCCATTGTAGGCTGATCGGTCCCATTTCAACACTGTGAGACTGAGGATATGCTAGAGGAAATGGTGTATATGATCCCTGTGAAATGATTCTTTGGCTTTTGTTTAAAAACAAAACGGGTTTGTTCACATAATCTTTAGAACTATGAAGATGACTGGATCATATTTTTTTCTCTCTTAACCAGGAGTGCCTCAGAGATTCTGCTATGACTTTGGACTTCTCTGAGTCTGTGCAATCATATTCTTGAGAAGCATGGGGAAAGGTGGTAGACTGCTGCACTTTTTCATTAAAATGAGGGTAGCTCTTTTTTTCCCCCATTTCTTTATCCTGAGGACATAAATGTTCAACTACTTAGGCATTGAAATCAATTTGTGACCACCTTCATTGGCGGGTGGGGCTCTAAATTGATTGCATAAGTGTTAATGCACTTTCTCAATGGCTCTCTAGTCATTATTAACATGTCTTCCCTCTTCCCACAAGGACTTAAGGTCATTTCTGTCCTTGAAGCTTGAAGAACTAGCAAATCAAGAGAATCCAAGGGACGTGTTCTCTATTTCCCAGGAATGATTGACACTTTGGTGCTGGGGTTTTGTGAGGGGAGGGGTGGTTTTTGTTTAGCTTCTGTGAGATTGTGTGGGGGGGCAGGTTTTGATTGTTTTGTCTTTTCCTTTGTGAGATGATGATGACTGAAGTAGAACTGTACGTCTTCAGGTAAAGAAAGGGATTTCTCAATCCACTTTCTGTGATGTCAGACTATTGGAGAAACCCTTTCAGCTGCTTTCTAGATGTACTTAAACTCAGTCAGATAATTTGGATTAAGAAACCTAAAGTCCTGATAAGATCGTATACTCCAAGGAAATACATCAGGGACAGATAATTGGCTGAAAACACTGACGCTTCAATGTGACACATTTTTATAGAACATTTCTACCAGAGGGTACTGACTTAATTTCTTCTACAAGGACCACACTGCCTTTGTGTTTAATGTAATGCAATTTGTGTATCTTCTAATCATATATCTGCAAAGTTTCTCATTTTTATAAAACTTTGAAATCATGCCAGTAAGCTAGATGTTGAATGTATGTAAGTAGCATTTGGTAACTGCTAAGAGGCTACAAGAGTACATTAGTAGCTTAAAGTTTTTGTTCTGATTTGGTTAGATAAGACTTTATTATGACGTTACTCTTCTGGTTCTCAGGCTCTAATGTTTGAAAAAGAAGGGAATATATTGGGTTTTTGAAAAATCAGTATTGTGACTTGAACTTCTGTAAATTATCCTTTCACAAAATACATCAATTATCCGTGTCTTTGTACATTTAGACATTTTTACTTTATTGTGAAAGAAAAATATACTGAGTTTATAGAAAGCAAGTATTCTCCTAATTAACAAAGTTTAAAATTTTATCTATATCAATTAAAATTACAATAGATTTTTATAAATAAAATAACCAGAAAATGCCTCTTGCTTTTTTCAAACTTTAAAATTCTCCCCTCCCCCCCTTTTTTTTTATTGTAAGACTATTTTTTTTATGGTGGTACTGGTGTTTGAACTCAGAGCCTCATGCTTTTTAAGCAGGCCCTTTACCATTTAAACTACTCTGTCAGCCCTAAGAACATTTTTTTTAAAGAAACTTTATGTTAGAATCATCATAAGAACAGTGAGATACTTGACTGAATTTAGTGGTCTGTAACATTTTTCAGCTCAAATGAAAATGGAAAACTAACTTGAACTAGTAAGTATCTACAACATTGCCAAAATCCAGGGTAAAGCTTAAAGTTGGTAGGCAATTTATTGATTTTTGTGTGATATATATGGTATGGTATGTGTATATGTATTTATCACAAAGACATATTTTATATATCCCTTATTTCTTTTCATTTAACTATGGGATGTCAGGTAAATGAAAAGAATTTTAAGGCATCCAGAGTAATATGAACATTTGTAACACTCTAAAGAAAGCAAAGTTTCAGATATGTAAGGAAAGGATCATCGTACTTAACACTGAGTGAAATCCAGGCTGTGGCTGGAGTCACTTTATGACAGAAATACCTTGTCTATATAGGAGTTTAATGGGCTGTTTTACATTCAACAAGTTGTGCATCTACTGGCATCTAAATCATTCTTTTAGGTGGTATGTCTTGGCCCCACTGAAGAAACATTTCATTTAGTTTAAACTTTGCACTCTGGGTCTTAGAGCAGATTTCCTATGCAAGATAGAGTTAAAATGAAATGAGTTAAGTTTAACAAACTGTCAAATTTTAAAAGTTTTTTTATATCCCTTTACATTATTTATTGACATTTACTTTTATTTTAAGTTTACAACACCTATTCCAAATATATACCAGCAATTTTTATACTTTATCCTTTCACAACTTTTTATACTTCCATAAAAATATCCAGTCATTTATGGAAAAGATATTTAGGGAGAAAATACTTGTTTTCTATAATAAAACAATTTGATGCCATCTATTCCAGGGTGCATTAAGGAATACAAAGAAATATTTGAAAGTTTTGGGAACTCTTCTCTGTGACCATTAATTTTAACATGTTACTAGAAAGCAAACTAAAATGTAAAGTGAAAAGTTAACTTAGTAGTAAGGTTTTTAAATATGAAAATATTTTAGGGAGCTAGGGAGGAAAATGGCTATAATTTAAAATCCTGATCCCCTACCACCACTTTTTCCAGTCCACTGTTCTGTACCTATTTATTGTAGAATTAGAATTTTTGTGCTAGAACAGACCCTAGAAATAATCTAGCTAGCCTTTCCCCCAACCCCATCCCCCACCCGGACACATACACTCATCCTCAGGAAACTGAGGCTGAAAGAGGTTATGACCTGACAAGGTCACATAACTAAGAAGCAGAGCCAGAATCAAACCTCATCTCCTGTCAAATGCATATTAACAACCCACTGCCTTTCTTTACCCCATCCTGTGGCAAATGTGGTATGTAACACTTGCCACTGCTGTAGTTTTAAGTATTAAATCCAGAAGAAATGTAGAGTAATAATGGGGAACAGTTAGAAATGTAGGTATCTATACAATGTAAGGATAGGTACATTACTCTTTACTAATTTTCTGCCACATAACAGTTACATGCTGCCATGTTGTTTATATTTGTGGGGATTTATTTAACTGCGAAATAAACTCAATGAAATGACATTGATCAGTGTTTCTAGCTATTTTAAAGTAATTTTTGAATCAGCCAGCTTTCAGTAACCAAGGTGGCCAGTTAATTGTATCACACAATGGAGCATGACTAAGTAAAGATAAAATAAATTTAATTCCATTAATTTTCAACGTAGAGAGAGATGTGACCTTACTGTGCTTAGAGCATCTAAATGCAATATTTCCTTATGTGATTGAAAAAGGTTTATAGTGTAATGCTTATGATTCCATAAGGTAACAGTGACCATAATGTCATTAAAGTGTATATACCATGTAAAATTTCTTAATCACAACAGTCTCAGCTATGTAAGCTCGATATTTCCAAACTGTAGTCTCAAATTCTACTTAGTAGCTTTAAATTTATTATAATTATTTATTAGACACTGGAATACTGAGAATAACTTCTTTCAGATTGTTTTGTTTGCACTACTTTTGTGAATATTTTAATGAAGTGGGGTGTTTTTTCCTACCTCACTTTGTGAGGTCTGTATGGGTCCATTTTTGAGTACTTTAGTTGTTGGCAATCAGTTGTCTCATTTAATTCTCTGCATGTTCATTTGTAAATTAAAATATTAGTATCTGTCTTTATGGGTAGCATACTGTACAAACACTGGCATTGAGGATCTCTCCATTTCTGATCTTGGATTATATTACTAGTAAATTGTGATTTTTTAAAAAAAACTGTTTCATTTATGTATTTTTTAGTTTTAAAAAGTTTGTGACAGTGATCAGAAAATCAGTAAGAATTTTAGGATGACTTTTCTATACCAAGGCTATGTTAAACAGTCTGAACATAAGACTTTTTATCTTTTAGTTGAGTGGTTCCTCGTCATTGTTTCACCACCAAGTTGGTTGAGACACTTATTTGTAATACTTTAATTTTTTAAAAGTGCTTTTTAGGAAAAATGTTGATTGAAAACCAACTAGATATTGGTAGTTTAAAGTCTTAAAAATTAAATTTTTTCCAGATTATAAGAATAGGGAATGCAATGTAAAATTAATATTCTAATAAAATCACAGAGGGTCACCAGATTAGTGCAGTTTTCCTTGCTAAGGTGGTTATAATTGATAATGTAAGACAAATTTTAGTATTGCTTTCATTGTGTATATCTAATGGGTATATGATACTGGCTCTGAGCATACATAGGAAATACTACTCATACAGGAGTCATCACCTGCTTGCCCATGTAGGCACATTTCTTCTCACCCTGACCAAACAACCACAAAACATTGCTCATTTCTTCAGTATTTTTGTAATCTTAGCCATTAGTCCTATGAGAAATATACACAAGAACAAATAATTCAGGATAAAGTTAGCTAAAAGCTAGGAATGATATGAAATAACTGGCCACATAGTACAGAAATGTAGGTTCTATGTTTCCTCTGAATTTTGAGAAAATGTGTTCATAATGTTTACAAATTAAGGCATAGTCATATGTCTGCTATTAAGATAATATGTTTAATATACATTTTACCAACAAAATAGAATTAGGTGTGGCTTAAGGCATAAATTAGTCCTTTTTAAAAATTATGTATTTGGAGGTAGGTCTAATAAAGAGATCTTTTTATTTTCAAAGAGAAATGAACTTAATTGGACAATCTATCCCCAGCTACAGAATTGGTATCAATCTGGTTTGCTGTATTTGAGTGTAAACAGCTCAGTGTTAATCATATCAGAGGAAGTTTTTTACATCTTCATTGATTAAAAAATTTACCAAAGAAAACATTATCAACCAAATATCATTTTTAAAGCACCTGATAACAAATGAAGTCCTTTTAACACAATGGATTGTTTTCTAACCCTGAGAGAGGTAAAGATTAATAGGTTCTTTGACCTAAAAAATAGGTATATAGTAGTTACAAAATTCCATTTGAGGATTTCTTTTTACTTCAGTAAAACAATATTCCAGCAAAAGTACCAGATAGAGGGTAAGTCCAAATACTATTCCTTGAAGTACATTTTCATGTCTCCTTCACTAAAATCAAGGTTTTTGCTCATCAGTATTTAATAAGAAAAGGGGGAAATTTCTAGAATTGGCATGTTACACATGATATGAGGTTTTAAAATAAAATTATGAGAGAAATTGTGGAAATGCACCTCTTTCAATTGGCAGTGGCAATTTATTAAGTATGATATTGTTTAAACTGGTACAGTTTGTTTACATAATTTGTGTAATTTATGATGACTCAAATGCTTTGTTTTCTTTGCATAAAAACATGATTGGCTAAAAAACTAAAATAATCATTTTTTAAATGTACAGACCAAAAAAGAACTAAACTATTTATTTAAATTGATTTAACATAATTGTATGTTGACTGATGTTCCTAACAAATTATATGCATTATTTTTTCACATTAAGTGGTAGTTAAAAAGTAATGAATGTCTGGCTGGGAGAGTGGCTCAAGTAGTAGAGCACCTGCCTAGCAAGTATGAGGCCCTGAGTTCAAACCCCAGTACCACCAAAAATAAAAGTAATGAATGTATTAATCAGCTATCTTGGGAAGAGAAGACTGGCTTTCTGATAATGGTTTGGCTTTTTTTTTTTTAAGGTTTTATCATATAAACTGAATTGAGAGTTATGTTCCATGTGGTATTCTAAAATATTTGCAGTAAGTCCATACACTATTTTATATTGTACCTTTTTTAATTCCTATTCTAAAAATTAGATTGGCTTTACATTCAGTTAACTGGTTAAATGAAATGATTTTTACAGTGCAGATTATTTTCCCACTATTGTTCTCAGGATAATTTGGCTCTTTTGTGCTGTCGTTTCTGAAGGATTTTTACTAATTTGGCTTTCTGCAATCTGGTCTCTGTAACAATGGACAGGGAAACAAAAAATATCCTACTTTCATGTGTTTGCTTCAGAAAAGGACATGAAATGTATAGATCAGCTCCTCTTCTTTTTTTTTCTTTTTGCCAGTGTCAACCTATAGCTTGGTATAAACTTCTCAAGTATTCAGAGAATGGTGCTGGTGAAAATTTAAATAGGGTCAGCATGTAGAAATCATGACTTCTACTGAGTGATGTCCTTTCAACCTAGGACTAGTGAAAAAAATCTTCATCTCTTTTTTTTTGAGCTGAACTTAAAAAAAAAACTGCACATTTAAGATCATATTTCTTGGTGCATGTAAGCCATTATCCTGTCTTATGAAATTGATTAATGCTGTTGATTGTTGAAATGTGAAATGTAGTCACTGTTAATCTTGTAAATATCTGCCAGAGATGAAAAAATATTTTAACTTATTGTAAATAAAGATGTATAAAATTCAGTATCAGTCTGCAATGCAGAAACATATCTCAGATGTTAAATATTGTGTTTCTTGAGAGATGTGTAATTTTTTCTCTAGGTGTATCTA